CTGGGGAGCTTGGTGGCAGGCTTAGCACGTTGCTAGCCCTTGACAGACTCCCTGACTCCTGGGGTCAGAACCCCCTGGGGCCCTCGCTCTAAAGAGAACAGGTATAACCGTGCTGGTGCCGCGCTGCCCGTGGCCCCCGCCGCACGGTGACACTCACGCGGCGTGGGTGCGCTTGTAGGTGTACAGCCTGGAGAAGAGGCGGGCCAGCTCCAGCAGCACGGAGACGCCGCTCCCGTTGGAGTCTGCGCCAAGTGACAGCCACTGCAGGATGGGAGACACAGGGCCGGCTGTCACGCCTGTGTGCTGCATCCCGCCCCCCCAAGACCTGCTGTCCCTGACGGTGGCTGTGGTCAACTCTGAACTCCCTCCCCCATCTCGCCTCCAGAACTCGTCCAGGGCATGGCTGGGATCGCTCCCCTCCTCTGCTCGAACCCCTGGTCTGCAGGGCTGGTCCCTCACTCACAGCGACTCTGCCCAGAGCCTGGAGCTGAGCACCCAGCAGGTGGATGCGGTCACCAAGGGCAGTGTCCCCCCAGTGCCAGCCTCTGCAAGGGGCCACCTGCAGGACCAGCTCCTCCACCCTCGCGCCCCTGGCTGTGGGGGCCCAGTCATCCCTCCAGCCTGACGCCTCAGTCCCCACCGTGTCTTAGAGTAACATTCTCAATGGGGTGATGATGATTCGTAGGGAGATAACTGGATCCTGCGATGGCTTGGGACTGTCGCAAGGTCACAGTGTACAAAGGGGTGTAACGGTGGCATCAAAATTCATGGGGGAGCCTCGTGCTTAGTAGAAGATGCCAGACACAAAAGGCCATACAGAGTGTCACTCAATTTATAGGAAATGTCCAGAACAGGCCAATCCACGGAGGCAGAAAGTGGATTCGTGGTTGCCGGGGGCTGGGGAAAGGGGTGGGGAGTGACTTCTGATGGGCTACCTTTTGGATAATAGAATGTTCTGGAACTAGAGTGGGTGGTGGTTGTACAGCCTTGTGAATGTACTAAACAAACGTCACTGAAGTGTTCACTGTAAGCTTGTCCCTCTTACCCGTCCACGGCACGGTCAGGGGCTTGGTCTAGCTGACTTTTTCAAAGCAAGATTTTCAGGAGGACGGAAGCAGGACATGCTGATTTACACTCCGGCTCGAGCCCCGACCTCACTGTACCTGGCGCTCTGCAGAACAGAGGCGGCCCTGCGGGCCCCAAGCTGTGCATTCAGAACAGTGGCCACGAGGCCGGTGCTGCCTGCTGTGGGGAACCTGGACCTCGGGGCCCACCCTGTCTGGCAGGAGGGGCTCCTGGGCCGACACTGTCCATGCACACAGTGTGGTTTAAGCTCAACCCCGCCTTCTTTCAGGAGTCTGGAATCTCGCACCTGCCAGGCAGGGGGGTGTGTGACCCGCCCCCATAAGACTCCTGGGTCCTGGGTCTCTGCGGGCTTCCCTGGGACGACACCTCACACGTTTTGCTCGGGATTCGTCCTGTGCGACGCCCCTGGGGGAGGATTCTGGAAGCTGAACCTGAACACCCCCACCCCCGACACCCGAGTCTACCCCACGCGCCTTTTCCCTGTGCTGAGTCTGCTCTGTGTCCTTTCCCTGTAATAAGCCACAGCCGGGGGGAAACTGAGCTGAGTCCTAGGAGCGCCCCTGCTCGTGGATCTCCACATCTGGGGTGGGCCTGGGACCCCGACACAGGCACACTGGGATCCATTGCTGGCCTGGCCAGCTATTTGCCGTGGGACCCTAGCCAAGAGACCCCCCGTGTAGCTCAGCCTCCATGTCAGTGACATGAGATGACAGCCACCCAGGGGGTCCTCACGGGACCTGAGAAAGCGGGTCAAGGGTCCTCACTGTGGATGCATCTGCAGACTGAACTGAGATGGGGTCTGGCCCCGTGGGGCACACGCATACATACCGGGGCCACTCCGAAGGCATCGTAGTGGGCCACGATGACGATGGTGGGAAGGTCCTCTCCACCCAGCCCCGTCAGCCGCCCCTGTGGAGACATAGCCTGTGAACGGCCAGCAGGGCCTGAGGCTGCCCGGGCTGCTCCCAGGCCTTGCCACTCCTGGTTCCCACTCGGTGGGAAGAGAGAGCAGGGAGTGACCCGAGTGTGGGCCTGGAAGACCCCTCCTGCAGGGGCCACATGGAGCCAGGACTGCCCTTGTTCTGACACCTTCCGGGGCACCAGATCCCCATGTGAAGCTCTTGCTGCAGACTCTGGGAGCCCCAGGGAACTCCCCCAGGGAAGAGGTGGATGCCAGGGAGGAACCCACCCGGGCCCCCTGCTCTACCCACAAAGTGTTAACAAAAGAGGGGGGAGGTGTGATGAAAACAACTTTCCTGTAGGAAAGAGATCAGGCCCCTCACCCCAGCACTTGGGCCCTCCAAGGTCTGTGCCCACCCTATTCTGCTCTAGCTGGGGGACCAATAAACTTCCCATAAAGGGCCAGAGAGGGAGTATTTCCAGTGTGGGAGCCAGACCATGGGCTGCCCCCAGGCCTTGCCACTCCTGGTTCCCACTCGGTGGGAAGAGAGAGCAGGGAGTGACCCGAGTGTGGGTCTGGAAGACCCCTCCTGTAGGGGCCACATGGAGCCAGGACTGCCCTTGTTCTGACACCTTCCGGGGCACCAGATCCCCACGTGAAGCTCTTGCTGCAGACTCTGGGAGCCCCAGGGAACTCCCCCAGGGAAGAGGTGGATGCCAGGGAGGAACCCACCTGGGCCCCCTGCTCTACCCACAAAGTGTTAACAAAAGAGGGGGGAGGTGTGATGAAAACAACTTTCCTGTAGGAAAGAGATCAGGCCCCTCACCCCAGCACTTGGGCCCTCCAAGGTCTGTGCCCACCCTATTCTGCTCTAGCTGGGGGACCAATAAACTTCCCATAAAGGGCCAGAGAGGGAGTATTTCCAGTGTGGGAGCCAGACCGTCTGTCGCGACCACTCAGCACAGCTGCCATGCGCAAGAGGTGCATGTACAGGTGAAGCCATGTGCAAGGAAACTTTATGTAGAGAAGCAGGTGGAGGGCCACATGTGGCTGACTCCTGGCCTAGCCAAGTTGCTTTTCCACTTGGAAATCAAGCCCATACTTTGAAGGCTGAGCTCAAAGTCCAGAAGCCAGGAGAATGGTCATGGGGAGAAATGGCACAGTCACAAGGACAGGAGTTGAAGAGCCCCATGGGATCCAGGGCCCACACCCACGCCATGCTGGGTGACGCAGGCCAGGCCCTGGGTCTCATCACATATAAACTGCCACTGTCAACAGGACCTGCTGCACGGGCCCACACTACAGTCAAATGGGATAACTGATGGGACAGACGCTCCTTCAACACTCCATGGCCTCCTCTTCTCCTGTCTGGAGCACTGCCCTTGGGTGCCTGGGTGCAGAGATACCAGGCACGCCCTGCCCGAGGCCATTCGCAGAGCTGGTCCCTGCGGCACACAGCCACAGGCCGCAAGCTCGGCAGGAGCGGGGGCCACACCCCTTGTCGGACTCCTGGGGCTCCCTTGCCTACACCCAAGGCCCTGTCCTGCTGGAGGAGGCTGCTGGGGACCTGCACTCCCTGGCTGCCATCCACAGCAAGCTGCCTGCAAGAGGGGCAAAGCCTGGGGAGTCAGACGTGGGTGCGGATCCTGGCACGTGACCATGCATGAGCTGCCTGACCCCTGACCCCGTGGCCTTGGCCTCCTCCCACGAGAAGCGGGCCCAACCCAGTGGCTTCTGCCTCCTCCCTGCCCTGCCCTGCCCCCCAGCCCCATGAGTGAGGAGGATGGCAGAGGGCACTCTGTAACGCAGAAGCTTCTAGAACCAAAGGCAGGGCTGGCAGGTCACAACAGACCCCTAAATGGCGACAGGGGGCTAACAGGCCCTCATGGACCACACCTGCTCTCAACCACAGCAAACTGGACGACCTGTGGTTCACCCTGGTCCGCGGGAGCCGGACAGAGAAGGACTCCATCCAGTGCGGCTCCTATGCCCAAACTCTGTGATCCCTTGTGCGGCTCTAAATGACGGTCCTTTACCCTAAGCTCATTCACCTTATTTAACTTACTTTCTAACACTGCAGCCGGCTTCCCTCCTCCTCAGTTGGGCCCATCCGCTCTGCCGACCACCTGCCCTGCCTCGTCCACCCGATCTCTGCATCACGATCCCTCCTTGCTGCCCCCTTGCCAGGTCTCAGGCCTCTTGGCAGGGACATCCCACCGGGCAGGGACCTCCCCAGCAAGTCCTCCTCCTGCGTCACTCCACGTGCTGCTCCTCATCCTCTGACCTCCCCCAGCTGGAAGTGAGCTCTGCAAGGAAGGGGTGGCACCTAGCTCCCCACTGCCTCCTGCACAGCAGGGGCTTAAAGAGCACTCACCCCAAACCACAGGATTCTGAACTGCTCTAAACAGCGCTCCAGCACAGAGGCACTCAGCCCTGGAGGGGAAGGCAGCTGGGAACGGAGCCTGTGTGCTGACGCCAGGGGGCGGCAGAGCAGCCTGTTCCCTGTGCCCTGAGCCACCGAGGATGTGGCTCCAGAAGCCTGATGAACACTGACGGTGACACCTGCTCCAGCACAGGGCGGGTGGGGGGCACCGTGGTCAGCTACAAGTGCTGAGGGCCACTGTGTGCCAGGCACTGGGTGGGGATCTGAGGACACGGAAGAGGCCAGGGTGAACATGGTTGCAGGTCAGGAGTTCTGACCATTGTATACGGTGACAATGACAGTGGATAAACTCAAGCTGGTGACAGATCCAGCGTGCTGTGGGGGGTTCACCTCCTGGGTAAAACCCGTGTGTGATTCTTCAGGCCTGACCAGGGGCAACTACCAAGGCTCTGCCTGGCTGGCACTTGGGGGAAGCTGCTCCTGCAGGCCACACCTGGTGTCCAGTGACATGCGCCGTGGCCTCTGGAGTGGGCTGTGGTAGAGAGCTTGGTCCTGACTGGATGCACTGGTGTATTTGAATCCTCAGTCTCTCTATCTGGGGACTGGGGCCAAGGCCTCCTTGTGGGGCTAGGGAGGAGGGGACCATAGCACGCTTTCCCCACCCTGACTCAGTAGCCAGGATGTTCCTGCCCTGAGCCCTCCGCCACCCCAGGTCCATAAAATTGCAGGTGCTTTTTGCTCATGTGCCCTCCCTAGCAGGGAGACCCTGAGGCACCTGAGCCACCTTCTCTGTCTTTAAGGTGCTCACACCACAGCAGTAAGGGATTTGGCTTAACCCTTTCACTCCCGCCCTGTAGCTTCGATCAGCCACTTCGACACCTGGCAGCTCAGTGCTCTCTCCCAGCTCGGCTGAGCTCCCGACAACGGGGCGATGGGGTGGCCACGGAAGTGTCTGTGGGGACAACGCATCTAAGCATTACATGACAAGAAGGGGCAGCCACTCCAGGGCCTGGAGGGAGAGCTTCCTGTGAGGAGGGGACGGCCGGGCAAAGGCCCTGGGGTGGGATGAGCTGGCAGCAAGGTGTGTGGCCTGGCCAGCGACAGGAGGCAGGAGGCGGCCAGGGCAGCAGGCAGGGGCCCAACCACTCTGCAGTGGCTTCCTGGCCCGGCCGCACTGAGCGCTTTGCAAAGCAGGCGGATGGTTCCATCCATCTCCCTGCCAGGAGCTCCCTCTAGTGGGCACCGGTGGTGAGGCAGCCGGCCTGCTGTCGGGGAGGCGCAGGCGGCCTGGCTGGGCGTGGGGCTGAGCTGCGGGGACTGGGCAGGTCAGGGGACAGAAGCGGGTCCAAAGCAGTCAGCGGGGCGGACACTCACCTCCACGCTGGTGATGAGCCAGTCGCTCACGGCCTTGCTCTGGACTCCACTGGTGACCATCT